TCTGACATTAACGAACTTAAACAAATGGACAAAATTTCCAATAAACATCGTTTTGGGTTCTATTAGGTTGATGAAGTCCCATAAATAATAGTTTTTACATCATATATACACATGTATTTATGTATATCATGTACAGACAGCGATGAGTAACATTTTTATTATATGTGTCCATCCATAGATACATATATGGTAGGCGATGTCTGTCTGTATGTCAGGTGTTAATTTTCTGATTGACTAACGAAAATTAGTGCTCGTCATATACAGTGGGAATTTAATTTGACTTGTTCGTGTATCATTTGACAACACCCATTAACACCTGGTGGCGTGTCACCTGAGTCTTGTACTTTGAAAACAATTTATACTGAGCGCGTAATAGGGTCACAAATAGTGTTGCCATATTGGGTGATTCCACCATTGTTTTAGGGAGGGAGAATGGGGATTGGTAATAGGGACTGATGACAATGCTAGCTATGTACCAATACAGGTTGACTTCTACGCGGTTCTTTTGGAAACTATCGTGATAAATTCCTGGTGTATTTATCACGATAGGCTAACTGACAGGACCTCAAGTTCATCTTATCATCCTCCACTGGTGCTCCGCCAGCGCAAACCGATAGCGCAGTCGGATGCGCCATACTATTATCATCCATTAAAAAAACATTATTTTAGGGAGATTTTTTATGATACAATGGGCAGATTGTCAATACCATTGTCGAATACCAGAATTTGTTACATGCGCATCTTTGACTGCTTCACTCAAAATAGTAACTTTTTATATTTTTAGGCAGAAAAGAAGAGGCGAATGTATAAAAAGGTTCCCATGTAGTCAATGTTTTAGAAGTAGCGGAAAGGAATATTGTTTTGTAGGTAGATATGCTAGTAATAAGTTTAGGGTAAGCAACAATTCTTGAAACACTCCCGTTTTACACTAGTATAATCACTTTCGTGACGCCTTAGAAGTAAACAAAATATACTGTTGTGGAATGAGCGGCCTAAAAGAAGGTTATCATTGTTGCTAACTCAGTATTTAGCACAATAAATGACATAAAAGAAATCAAAGTCATCATTTTTGTCTTCGAAGTGCCAGAAAAAAAAAGTGCTGTAAAAAAGCAATGTAACAAAAGGCACAGCAGGTTATCGAAAGTATAATTGTGCTTGATAGCTCTTGGGAGAACTTTCATCAACACTTGAATTTTCGCGTAATTTTTGACATCATTTTCGGGAAAGTTGGGCTGTCATCTGGCAATACTGATCGTAAACCTTCCACTTACGTGCCAATTGACACGCACTCCAGGTATGCACGTGAGTGCGTCGTCATATAATGAACAGGTTATTGTACCTATGTACAGTCAGACATATATAACTATATATTCATAACATAGTATCTAATATAATACAATTGTTTAGTTAGCTGGCAGAGAATGCCATATAGTATTAGGCTCGCCAATTGTACATTTATTATAAATAATGCAATAAAGAATAAACAATAATTATTATTCAGGCAATTCACACAGCGCCATCTAGTTCCAAGTTTTTATGGGTACTTGACAACTTATAAATAAACTTGATTATTTTTTTTTGTAAATACACACGTCATATACATAGAAAACATCCAAACCCATACAAACAATCATACTCATGAATACAAATGTTTTTACTGTGCGAGGAATTGAACTCGTGACCATCGGAAGGAAAGAGTTTGCTAAACCACTAGACCTTCGAGGTTATCAAACATAAATCATAACTTATTTTCTTTGTGAAAATCTTGCAGTTTCATGAATATTCCACATGACTTTCGACTTGCATTTAATAAACCCTATACGATCTAAGCATACAGATATTAGTCATTGCCTATATACATTTATATTACAAGCAAAGTAATCAATTAAATTATAATTACACAATACAATATTACAAATAACAAGACAGTTATCAACAAAAATTGTCCCGTCTCGTATCCGGCCCGAAGGACCATAATGCTGGCAGCATTTCCGAGCTGAATTGCTTGATCCTTTGAGCCAGATACGATCCAGAGCGGAATTTAAATTAAATATGCAGTTTTCATAATATAACTGTCTTTAGTAGAAAGAATTCTGTAGAATTATCAAGTAGTTTTTGAGTTTATTGATTACAAATAAAATATTTATTTATTTATTCAAACTTTAGTGCACAAATACACAAATAAAAGTGCACATGACGGATTTAAAACATTCAATGCGATCTCATGGTCAACCCACCAAAGGACAATCAAAGAAATTCATGTGGGTGGTGAATTATCAAAATTAACTAATATTATAACTTAGAACTGTGATAATCTCAAAAAAAAAAATAGAACAGTTGACACTAGCAAGTTGCAAATTAAAGACAGTATGATTGACATGTGATTGACGGCGAGATTGACAAGAAATACGACGTTTTTATGATGGCGTTGTTTTGCATTTATGAGTCAAATTGCCCATACAAACAAACTTGTTATAATTTTCATAATTTGCATTAGAACTACCGTATCGTTCATGATAGATATGTTCTGCAGATTTTGCTATTACTGGAGTATGTATTGGTATTTATTTCATTCATTTTATCTACTAAACTTCCACCTTCGTTGTTCTCTCATACAACAACAATGTTATTTCACTATTGTTTTACTTCTAAATGTTTTTAATATATTTATATATTTGTTCACGCTTAGGATTTTCGCTGGTAGGTTCACCAGTGGAGGATGATGGGATGAGCAATGAAGTCAGTTCAATTAGGCCGGTAAATACTCCAGAAATTAACCGCCATGCAATTCCAGGTGAAGGTGATCTGCTGGGTAACCATCGTTGTTATTTCTTAGTGAATTTGCAATGATGGTGTAACTAACCTCATTCCATCATCTACCATAGAAATGAAATTTAGGTTTAGCATATTGCCGTACTTCCGATGGTCGCGGATTCGATTCCTCGCACGGTACAAACATTTGTATTCATGAGTATGATTATTTGTGTCGGTCTGGGTGTTTTCTATGTATAATATGTATGTATTTACGAAAAAATATGAACGCTGTGTGAATTGCCCTGAGATTATTGTTATTATTTATTCGGTGGACTGTTAGAAACACGACACTCACATTTACAATTGACTTTTAAAAATGAACAAAACAAAAACACGTTGCTAAGAATTAACAAATAAATATATATACATATAGAACAAGAGTAAACAGAAAAGAGAAAAAGAGACTTACGACGGGACCTCTGGATCAATTAGTAACAATAGTTAGTAACAATCCCCTCACCTCTTACGATATATTCATACGAAATACTCGATATATGTTTGTTTAATTTAAAATGGAAATTAGTTACACCAAAGTTGTCACGTCAGCTATGAAAATAGACGGAATAATTTGTGTGTTTATAACTTTCAGTTTAACGACCGTCTGTTTTATATTTGGCTTTCTAGACCACTTTTACTTTTAACCGTTTTCAAAAAGGACCACGTTCTCTATTGAACTTTTTTTTATAATGGTGTCGCTTACATGAAACAGTCATACTCACTATAAAGTTAAAACTTATGGCGGCGTGGTGGGCCGGGTCGATGTGCTCCCTCTAATATGGTTGTGTGCAATGATGGATGGCTCATCCGCCATACTCGTGAACGGGTGCTGCTTGGTCTGTTCAGGTTGCGAACACTGATTAGATTTTTTGTTTTTGCAATAGCATATGCAGATGATTACTCTATACTCCCAGATTTGAATATATATTAATCTGTATTATTGTAAATATGTACAAGATTTATTAAAAAATATAGGAGCTGAGTTTCTTTTCAGTTGTTCTCATCTCGAAATCATTCCGAACTGACGGGAGATTTGACATATCAGAGTCTGTAATAGACCTACATGAATAAAGATATTTTGTATTTGAATTTGAATTACAGACGTTTTTACGTGAACTCTATTATGATATATTAATATAATGCTCCGTCAGTTTTATATTTAGCTTTCTATATAGACTACTTTTATTTCTAACTGTTTTCAAAAGGGATGACGTTACCACGTTCTCTTTTGAACTGTTTTTTTTTATGATGGTCTCGCTTACATACGTTTTTACGTATAGTTCACCTAAAAAAGTATGTAAGCGTATTGTAATATATTAAAATAATCATTTCAAGAATTAACACTTTAATTATGTACTTTTTTAGTAATCGTTTTTATGGGTGACGACCATTTATTACGACAGTTCAGTCAGATGATTTTTAAAGATATTAACTACTAGATACTAATAGTAATATTATATATAATATATTATTATAATAAATTACAAAACATATATTATAATAATAGTAGATATATTAATTACTAGATGACCCGCACAACTTTGTCTGCACACTTCCTTGATAATTGTCTTTATATTATACTAGCTTTTGCCCGCGGCTTCGCTCGCGTTAATTTATCCCCTTAGGGGTGGAATTTATCAAAATCCTTTCTTAGGGGATGCCTACGTTATAGTAGCTTTATGCATGCAAAGTCTCAGCCCGATCGGTTTAAAATTGACAAAGTTTCATACAGTCTTTCATCCCCTATTTTATCCCTTTGGGGGTAGAATTAATCAAAATCCTTTCTTAGCGGATGCCTACGTCATAACATCTTCCTGCATGCCAAATTTCAGCCCGATCCACCCAGTGGTTTAGGCTGTGCGTTGATAGATCACTATGTCAGTTACCTTTGAGTTATGTATATTTAGATATATGCCTATGTGTTATTCTGATGTATAAGCTATATTATTGTAAAGTTTCACCAAAATATGGTCAGTAGTTTGCGTTAAATAATAACAAATATCCATCGATACACACAAACTTTTACGTTTACAATATTAGTAAGATGTTAGACAAGTATGCACTGTATAAATGATATATTAAAATAACTATTGTATATTCGAACTTTCCACTCAAACATTATTCTTTAGAGATCTAAACCAAATATTGTTCATTCAAAGTGTAATAATGACTGTTTGTCTGTTTTCCAGGGACGGCGGGTATGTGCGGGGCGGGGGCGGCAGCGCGGCGGGCGAGTACCGGCCGGGGACCCGCGTGTCGCTGCTGGGTGGGCCCTACATCCCCACGCCTGTACAGCATCCCTCTCCGGCTGATCCTCCGCCCTTCAAGAAGATCCGGTTCGGTGTCGAACGGTCGCCCGCCACCGCGCTGCCACTGCACCAGCCACTCAGGGTCGACACCAGGGTAAGGAATCATTTTATATATGAACAAAGACCTTGATGGTCCAGTGGAAGGGCCTCAGGATTTCGCGGCCTAAGATAGTTATAACATTAATATACTTATTTACAAAATACTCAATATTTTGAATATCAAACACTTTCACGGTCTGATCCATAGGTTAAGCACACTGCCTTACTTCTTATGATTGCGGGTTCGATTCCTCGCATGATGCAAACATCTGTAGTCATGAGTATGATTGTTTGTATAGTAAGTGTTTTCGATATATATTAAGTATATATTTAATATCTATTGCCTGGTCAGAGAAAGGCCGAAAAAGAGATGGATGGACTGTGTGAAAGATGATATGATAAGAAAGGGAGTAAATAACGAGATGACTGCGAGCGAGGAATGGAAGAGAAAACATATTACGCCGACTACAAATAAATGGGATAAGGAAGAAGCAGATGATGCCTGGTACCTATAAGACAAGTTCTGCTTATTTAGGACTAGATGGCGCTGATAAATCTTCAAAAATAATGAAAAAATGATGTATTACAGGAGCCGGTGAACTCGTATAGCACGGTGGACCTCTCGCCGAACCCGCCGTCGGAGTCCACCGAAGACCAGAGCTTCAGAACCACCAAGGATGACCTGCTACAGCAGATATCTAAGGTGATCTTCGTTATTTTTTAATAAGTTGATAATTACCCAAGGTCTCCCGTTGATACTGCTGTTGATCAAACATTTTGTTGTGTTATTCCCAAACTATCTTTATTAAATAGGGCGCGCGCAAGTTTCTGGTTCCCCATTACATTATTGGATGATAACTGAATGTTGCACCTTACGTTAACGAGCATGAAGTGAGATCAGTTTGCCCATCGTGGTAAGTTCACCAGGAATTTATCACGATGGCTTCCAGACGGAATTGCGTGGAGCTCAACCTGATATGGTACATTACTAGCGATGGGTCACCTCTGATGTTTTTATAGGCAGCGATGACCGTTTACCATCAGATGTTCCGTATAAAAATGGAGATGAAGTTGTGGTTATTTTTTTTTATTAAGGGGTTTGATCTGTTACTTTGTGCTAAAGAGACCAGTACCACTGCGACCTGCATAGTTTTTGTAGAGTTCGTTGTCTAGGCCCGTCAAGGACAAGGATTGAAATATATTCTTAGGATCGATGGTCTTTATCTCCTCGGGATAGTGTATACCATCCAAAGGAGACATTTTGTTTATGCATGAGTGGTACAACCTAGGATGTATAGTGGCGTTTCTTCTTCCAATAGGCAAATTTCCAATTCTTTGTTGTTAACACGCCTAGGTTTGTTTAATTTGTAGTGACCAGTGAGGACCCTAGAGAGAGTCGTAATGTATATAAAATTATACCTAACAGTTGATTGTTTATGGTTGCAGGTGGACCGTGAAATGTCGCTATCGGAAGCGACGCTGTCGAAGCTCAAGAAGAAGCAGCAGGAGTTGGAACAGACTGCATCCAAACCGGCGCGGGCAGAAGAGCCGGAGGAAGCGCCGCCCAGACACAGGAGTTTGGCGCAGTGCGTCTACGCAGACAACAGGAAAAAGGTATATCAATTATTTAAATATGCAATTAAAATGTTTATAGTATGTTGGAGGGAACTGGCTTTCGTGGCACAGGTTTATTCAAATTCAGAATATCTTTATTCACATAGGTCTATTACAAACTCTTATGATGTCAAAGCTACTGTCGGTTTGGAATGATTTCGAGATGAGAAAAACTGACAAGAAACTCAACTCGCTTATCTACGAAAGCTAGGACTAAATGTATTAAATTAGACTGTATATTTGTGAGAAAAAGAGGTAACAGATTAAGCTGGTATGGCCATGTAATGCGGAGGAGCGAAGTTCATGTCTTGGAAAGCACTAAAATAAAGATGGATGGATTGTGTGAAAGATAATATGGACGATAGATATTAATGGATGGATGAAAAAGATAATGATTTGTGAGAAAAACGACATCACTAATAAATCTTCTTAGAGTGCCACATTATTTGTGCATAAAACGCACTTGCTGTAAAGTTTTATCAAAATCCGTTAAGTAGTTTTTGCGTGAAAGAGTAACAAACATCCATCCATTCTCAAACTTTCACGTTTATAATATTAATAAGATTTTAATATTTTTAGTTTATGGAACGTCGCTTACAATGGGCATATTTGAATCCAACATAAACTTATTAAGGTTCCTAACCTTGAGGAAGGTCTTGAAAGTAATTTAATTGTCTCCCATCAGGCCGCATCGGCACACGGGCAGCTGACGCACCTGGGCCCGGCGCCGGCGGCGGTGCCCCCCGCGGCGCCCCCCGCCTCCCCCTCTGCGGAGGAGGGGGCGCCCGCGCCGGAGGTGACCCTCCCCTCGCCCCCCTCGCCGCTCTCCCCGCGGTATCCCCTCTATCCGCTCTACAACCAGCCCCAGGACACGGAGCAGTACCACGAGAACATCCGCAAGCATCGCCTCTTCAGGAAACCCCTCGCGGAACACATCCGGCGGCTGAAGCAGGAGGCTGAGATGGTAACTATATTTTTATATATCTGCCTATTCTTTTTATTTTTTCTTACTAGTGATTATAATTAGTTTAAATTCTAAATTTGAACATTATTAAGGTCCTATCGCCAAAGATTAGTCCAGCCATTTCAGAGATTAGCCGGAACAAAAAGACTGACAGACAAAAATAGTAAAAAATGTTATTTTAGTGTATGTACCGTAGTTATATTCATATGCATGTAGTAAAAAACGGTTATTTCAATATTACAAACAGACACTCCAATTTTATTTATATGTATAGATTATAGCCAAACTCTATTTTCAATAGATTATTGTATGGAGGACTTTTTTTTATGGATAATGGAATGGTGCACCCGCCTGCGCTAACGGTTTACGCTGGCGGGGCACCAGTGGAGGATGATTAGATGAGCATGAGGTCAGGTCAGTTAGCCCATCGTGACAAATTCACCAGGAATTTATCACGATGGTTTCCAGGGGGAACCGCGTGGAGGTCAACCTGACATGGTACATTGCTAGTAATAGGTCATGAGTCCACATTCCTAACGACCTCCTTCTCCCTGTATGGAGGACTGTACTTTATATAGTTTTAAATGTGTTGTTACAGCGTGAAGATTTATTAGCGGAGGCGTATAGCAGACGCGCGGCTGACTGGCTGAGAAGAGTGGAAAGGATAGAACTGGGCCAGAAGAGGAAAGCCAAGGACGCGAGGAATAGAGAATTTTTTGAAAAGGTATTTTTACACATATTTGACTAGTACTTTAATTTTATGTGGGAAGGCCTCCAGCTAGGTGGACCGACGATTTGGTCAAGATCGCTGGAAGGCTTTGGATGCGAGCGCAGGACCGTCGTGGAGATCTTTGGGGGAGGCCTATGTCCAGCAGTGGACGTCTTCCGGGCTGCGATGATGATGATGATTTAATTAAAAAAAAAACATATTCCTTCTTAAAAGGCCGACAACGCACTTGCAATTCCCCTGGTGTTGCGGATGCTCATGGGCGCCGGTAATCACGTACCATCAGGTGAGCCGCAAGCTCGTTCGTCCTCTACAAAAAAATGGATATGAAACTCACAGGTTTTATAAAGACATCGTCTGCTTGGGTACTTTATTTTCACCTATTTCAGCTGCCAAACAGCTTGCTTTATAATCTGTGTTCCAGTTTAAAGTTGAGATAAGGCAGTAAAATTACAGAATATAATTTCTTTATATCCTGTAATTGATATGCCTGGTATCTTTGCAATAGCAACATATGTAGTAGTTGTATCACGTTATAGAATAACATGTTTTATTTTTCTTTTGAACTATTCTAATGTTGTTGGACGCACTTGGCCGCCAAGATGCCGCTCCAAAGCCGCGGAAGGACTTATGGAGCGGCTGAAGGCCAACTACTATATCTATGTCAGATACGATGATAACATGAAGATCGTAGTCCTGTATAAAAATCATGGTTACCAAAAACCATCAGGTGTGCTGTTAGCATATTTGCCAGTCTAATTGCATAAAAAAGCAAGGATTAGAGTTATATTTATAGTAATAATATAATAGTATAGTTCTGGGTATCATACAATGTAATACAAGGGACAATTCACACAGTGCCATGTAGGTATTTCCAAATTGAGTTTGATGGTACCCATAAGGGTACCATAGAACTCAATTTTATTTTATAAATACATGCATAATATTCACAGAAAATAATATGGTAATATATATATTTACATCGTGTGAGAAATCGAACCCGTGACTATAGAAAAATGAGATGTGCTGAAACGCTAAACCATCGATCCCTCTGTCTATGGTAAATTATGGTATTTAGAAATATTTTATAATTTCTTTTGAATTCCTTCCAGGTGTTTCCCGAGCTTCGGAAGCAGCGCGAGGAGAGAGAACGGTTCAACCGGCTCGGAGCGCGCGTGAAGTCGGAAGCGGAGCTGGAGGAGATCGCAGACGGGCTCCACGAGCAGGAGCACGAGGACAAGAAGATGCGGTCGCTGACGGTGGTACCCCCCCTATTGAGGGACCCCACCGACACGCGGCCAGTCTACGTCGACACCAACCGTTAGTTTTATTTATATAATTACAACAAAAAGGAACCTATATAACTACTAGAAGAAAGAATGATAACCTGTTCTGAGTTCGAGTAGTTACTTACGGTCGCGCGGTGGCGATTCCTCGCACCGTGCAAACATTTGTATTCATGAGTATGATTGTTTGTATCAGTCTATGAGTTGTCTATGTATGTATATATATATAAACTAGCTTTTGCCCGCGGCTTCGCTCGCATTAATTTATCCCCTTAGGGGTGGAATTTATCAAAATCCTTTCTTATGGGATGTCTACTTCATAGTAGCTTTAAAAGTCTCAGCCCGATCGGTTTAAAATTGACAAAGTTTCATACAAACTTTCATCCCCTATTTTATCCTCTTGGGGGTAGAATTAATCAAAACCCTTTATTAGCGGATGCCTGCGTCATAACATCTACCTGCATGCCAAATTTCAGCCCGATCCGTCCAGTGGTTTGGGCTGTGCGTTGATAGATCACTATGTCAGTCACCTTTGAGTTATATATATTTAGTAGAGTGGTGCACCCGCCTTTACTAACGGTAAACACTGCCGGGGAACCAGTGGAAAATGATAAGATGAACACGAGGCCAGGTCAGTTAGCCCATCGTGACCTGACAAATTCGTTAGGAATATCACAATTGTTTCCATGGTCAACCGCGGTCATAAGTCCACAGTCCTAATAATCTGCTTTCCTATTTTCTATTATTATTATTTATGTATTTTATGGATGTATTTAAATTCAAATATTTAAGCATCATTCAAAATCATTCTATCACTTGTCTAGTACCTATAACACAAGCTTTATAACTCAGCTTGGGACTGTAGTTTGTTTTTTTAATCAGAGATCAAATTGACATTACCTGTGTTGCCAGCTTTTTGGGATTTTAAAATAATGTTGTGACACAATTGGAAATTAATATTAAATACAGATTTTCGTCGGTTACACTTATGTAATATGTGATTTTCAATTATCATGCAATAACACAACATTATTGAAATATATTACTAATAAGTAAATTCCGAGCTTAAAAAGCAGGCAAGAATATGGGTTGTTCTGGATTATTATTATGATTATTTATGAATGTAATATTTTGCAGGTCGTTGCATGGACATGGAGGCGGAACATAAAGAGCTCCAGCTCAGGAACGTGTGGTCGCAGGCGGAGCGGGAGGTGTTTCGGGAGAAGTACCTCCAGCATCCGAAGAACTTTGGTCAGATAGCAAGCTTTCTGCCCAGAAAGAGTGTACGAGATTGTGTTAGGTATATTAGTTTATTTATTTTATTTATACTAATGTGCCTACCCTAGTAATATTTACGTCTCAACATAACATCTAAGTTCAGTGTAAACCCAGTCGACGTTACGACTCCACGTTGAATGTATACGTTACTAATAAGCTATGTAGCACTACCAAATAAACTTACAAATGTAGTACAATTATTACATCTATATTCTCACTACTTAAGATACTAGAGGAAACAAATAAATTATGTAGCGACATCTCATCACATTATATATAACGCTATAGTGGTGAGTTGATAACAATCGTGTCAGAGACTAAAATAGTGGAGTGTGAAAGATCTCCAAAATTGTTTATTTTGGATTTAAAGTAATACATTATTTTAGCCCGACATTAATACTACGATACGTTTATCGTAATGCATGTGCGGTCGCCACTGCACTGGAATGTGTGTGCTGCCTATAGTTTGATCATGTGAGGGATGTTACCTCCGAACTTCTCAACAGACTAACTAGTGGCATACAAGTAAATAACAGACAAACAAAAATATATTCCTGAACAAAATAAAGTTATATAAAAACACATTTATTAATACGACATAGAAAAAACGGATATTTTACACGTAGGCAGACAAGATGACGATACACTCTCTATTCAAATATTCAAACACACTTCGTCTGCCATACCAGTCTAATCATCGATTGCACCTCGTTCTAACAGACCAACACTTCTTATTGCACCAACTACAGAAAATAATAAAATAAAAATAGTAAATATACATTATGTAATACAAAGAGCCAGTCTTATCGCTAAGCAATCTCTACCTTTGGGTGGATAGAGAATGGAAAACTGGTGGATAAATCTTATACATGTGGTCTTTGTAGGAAACCTCTAAAAGTTGAAATTTAAGATAGTTATAGTATAAAGCCTAGTAAGAGTCAGTTGCGGCTCCGATGCGCCAGTGGAGGATGATACGATGAACATTATATTATGTCAGTTAGTCCAGTTTTCAGATGTTACGCTGGCGGTGTACCAGTGGAGAATAATAAGATGAGCATAAGGTCAAGTCAGTTAGCCCATCCTGACAAATTCGTCAGGAACTTTGATGGTTTCCAGGTGGAACCGCGAGGAAGTCAACGTGATAGTACATTACTAGCAATAATATTAATCCACATTACTAACAATTTCGGTACCAGCTGCTTAATTTCACCATCACCCATCACGCCAGAAACTAAAATACCAATAATTGGCGGGCGTACACCGTGCGTTTAGAAACATTTTACCATTATTGTATAGTACCACCACTTTATAGTATTAGTGTTTCTGAAGCGACACGATATTGAAATATAAGAAAAGAGCTTATTCCTTATTAAAAGGTTGGTAACGCACTTGTACTCAGGTGTTGCAGGTGCTCATGGTGGTTTTAATCACTTACCATTAGGTGGATCGTATGCTCGCTTGTCCCATATACTATAAAAAAAAGAAAAAAGTAACCTCAATCTTTCTTGGTTGCCATAACCTTAAAAAAAAAGTTTGTTCAATTATTATAGTTATTAATTATTGTGTATTGTCCAACAGATTTTACTACTTATCAAAAAAGGCTGAAAACTACAAACAACTGCTGAGGAAACCTCGGCAGCGGCGCTCCAACCGCAACCCGGCTCGGCCTGCACCGGAGCCCGAGCTGCCTGCCGGCGTCACCACGCGGCTGCAGCGCTCGCAAGGTTAGTGTTTATTTGCACCTCCCCCTGTATCCCCTCCTCCCTTTATTCATTTTTCTCCCTCCCCAAGTATTTCTTTACCTCTTCCCACACCACAGTGGTTCTTTACCTTCTTCCCCCTCTCTTTCCCGATACCTCGATAGATTGCAGCACTGTGCATTTTCTACTGTATTTATCACGGAGAGTGTTTTGAGTATTGTTCAAATCAATACCGCTGTTGAATTAGCACCAGAATACCCTCCAGAATATAAATATCATTATCATTGTAGAGTCATTTCCCAGACTTGATATTTCCAAAAGCAAACGACATTGAAGCCTTCAAGAAAGAATCTTTTCCTCCTTAAAAGTGTGTTAACTCACTTAGAATTCTCCTAATATTGCGGCCACACGCTCGTTAGTCTCCTATGCCATAAAAAAACCTAGTACGTGTATTTATTATACATGTATCACACTCAAATCAAGTTAGTCAAGTTTTTTGTATTAATATATTTTTTCCTACACTCCATACTAAAACAAAAATAAACTCAATTGTCAACGCATAGAGTTCATTTTCCTTCCTTTTACTCTTTTATTAGTAGATAGTCTTCATGTCTAATTGTATGTATGTTTCTAACGATATAATTACGTGTCGTAGGGTCTACTGCGCGAGTGGTAGACAAGGATGTGAGTGTGGAAGAGGGCCTCATGCAGCTGCCACCAACCTCGCTGCAGGGCTCTCCCGCAGCACCAGCCCACCCTGCCAGGTATTATTGCATGCTGTATATTTTATATCATTGTAATAAACGTCTATTCAGGCAAAAAAGGCCACGTACCGAAGGCGATTTTGTCCATTTTATTGGTTCCATAACTCGGGTCACAGGGTACCCCCCTTAATCGATGAAGGGGAGGGGGAGTCGTCAAAATATGTCGACAATGTATAATAAGGGATTGGAAGAGTCACGAAGTTCGTATAAAATTCAAGAAATATTGGACCCCTTCTTAGGCGTGCAAAAAATGCGGGTGAGACCTCACCGAACCATGACCAAAAGCCCCTCCTTAGGCGTGCAAAAAATGCGGGTGAGACCTCACCGAACCACGACCAAAAGCCCCTCCTTAGGCGTGCAAAAAATGAGGGTGAGACCTCACCGAACCACGACCAAAAGCCCCTCCCCCCACTTCGTGTTAAACGCGACGCTTGACGTTTCACTTATTGCATGCTATATATATTTAATCATTTTAATAAACGTCTATTCAGGCTGAAAAAGTCACGTCTGACTCTAATCTGACACAAGTATATGAATTAGGAAAGGCCTACATCATTGCATGTGTGTAAACTGAAAGAGACTGATAACGAAAACAATCAAATGAAAGCTAATCGCAGATAGAAAAAAACAATATTAAATAGACGTTTTTCCATTTTGCTGGTTAATGGATCATCCATAACTTACATCAGATATTTATGTGGTGAGGGGTCGATAAATTGTGACATTTGATTTTACACGTACCCCCCTTCACGAGCGAATCGGCTTTTAGAGAAAGAATAAGCATGTAAATGTAGAAAGAGAGAACGAAAAGACCGCGCAGGCTGCGAGCGCAATCCCGCGTTCTTCAATTTGTGACTTTGGAATGTCGTAATGTATGGATGATCCTTTAAACATGACAAAGCTCTTAATATAGAGGTTTGGAGACTGAAGTTTGAATGAGTTTGAATTACCTTTGCGCCGCCTTACCGCCATCTCTCGGAGTTTTCAGTGTTTTCTAATAGGTTTGGAGACCTTACCGCCATTTCTCTGAGTAATTTGATTTGTTATCAGTGTTTTCATTATTGGAGAGTCAATCAGAAGTGTAAATCTATGCAAATTAATGAAATTAATGTGTCTGTTTGTAATTTCAAATTAACAGCTTTTCACTAAATGCGTGTTCAACAAAAATCTTGTTAATCTCGGAAACGGCTTCACAGATTTTAAAGGGACTTTCACTCTCAAATGGCTAATATTATATGTGTATCTTTAGTGACTGTCATTTTTTAAATTCTATTCAAAAGAAGTCGCAGGGAATAGCTAGTGACATATAGAGTTTCTTGATGTAGACCTCAGAACTGACTCAGAAATATCGATGTAGTAAACAGAGATGCTACCTTTACCACCAGGCGATCTGGTTTTTTACTATTCATTGCAATTACACAAAAAAGGGCAAGAAGAATGAGATCCAACTATTTAGAAATATATATGTTTGGGAAATTACACTGCTACCAAAATGTTAGGGAATTTACTCTCTGTATATATATATGAAAAATAAGGAAGCGTCAGTCATTTACCTTTATGGTTCTGCGGATTTCTTGGGCTTCAGTTTCACAGTAGGTTTAACACAGTTCTAATTTATTTTAATTCACAACACAATGCGCGCGCGCGTCAAGGCCGCTGTACAGTCGGTTTGTTACTAGTTAGGTAGGGGAAGGGAACGCGCGGGAACAGAAAACTAACGGACTCTAATATAATATAATATCTGTGCTTACGATGATACAGGGTAGATTTTGAACAATATATATTTATTGATAATTATAATGTAAAAAATTTGACGTTCATAAGCGGCTAAAATGTCCTACTTGAATAATTATTTTTGAATTTTAAATAAAACCTATTACTCTGTAAACGATTATTTAGCAGACAAACTTGCTTGACGTTACCTGTTCAAACAGGGGATTTTCGATATTTTAAATATGTTTTTTATTGATGATTAGCTGTGCCTGCAAGGAATTTAACTTTATTTTTTTTTAAAATAAAAGTAGCTTAAGTTACTCCTTATTACATCAGCTACCTTCCAATAGAAGTCCCGTCAAAATCGGTCCAGCCATTTCAGAGATTAGCCGGAACAAACAGCCCGACAGACAGATAGACAAAAATTGTAAAAAGTGTTTTTTTTTGGTATATGTAGCGTATTTATATTCATATGTATGTAGTAAACGATTATTTCAATATTACAAACAGACACTCCAATTTTATTTATATGTATAGATAATGGAATGGTACACCCGCCTGCGCTAACGGTATACGCTGGCGGGGCACCAGTAGAGGATGATAAGATGAATGAGGTCAGGTCAGTTAGCCCAACACAAATTTACCAGGATTTATCTTGGTGGTTTTCATGGGAACCGCGTGGCAGTCAACCTAACATGGTACATTGCTAGCTATGTGGTTATTAGTCCACATTACTAACAAATATATTAAGAAAGATACACTATGAACGCTGTTATCTATTTTATAGATTGAAACTGGTTAAAGTTACCAATATATAAAACTTCTCTAACGTCCTGACCGATTCTTATGAAATCTAGTGTGCATATTCAGTAGGTCTGAGAATAGGACTTAAACTATATACCCCGATTATTATTCTTACCCCGATTGTTTTTCGTTAGTCATAATAACGTATTTGTAATTATGTATAGTTAATTTAGCGAAACAAATATAAACATTCAGTATATTCATCAAATCGATAAATCGATATAATTATTGACTATTGAATTGTACTACAGTCCCGATGGACCAACCTCGATATGTTGGGCAATGATTACTGATTACTAACCGACTGTATATCAGCAATCTTACAATTCCCTCCCCACTTCACTTAGTGTTAGTTATGATATAAATCAAGAATGTAGTATTAACGGATAAAACTATGAATTATAAAGTCTTCCGTTGTATAAATATGGGATCTAGTAAGAGCAAATAATAGTTTTTACTTATCTCTGCAATCTTCCATTCAAAGATGGACAAATCTACGTCTTTGTTCTATTTACTTCTTTTGTTTTTCTCGCTTTTTTATTGAGATGATAATGGAATGGTGTACCCGTCTGCCCTATCGGTTTACGCTGGCAGGGCACCAGTGGAGGATGATAACATGAGCATGAGGTCAGGTCAGTTAGCCCATCAGTGACAAATTCACCAAAAATTTATCACAATGGTTTCCAGGGGGAATCGCATGGAGGTCATCCTGACATGGTACATTGAAATCATCAGTCCACATTACTAACAATCCCCTTTACCCCTAAATCAGGTGTTAAGACCTGTAACACTGTGACCTACATAGATCTATTGTGCTCGTCCTTGTTTTAAAAGTTAAAGGGATAAGAATTGAAGAATAATCTTAGGAGCGATGAATTTTATCTCCTCAGGGTATAGTGTATACTTTCCAAAGGAGATATTTCGCTTATGCGTGAGTGGAACAACAACCACATAGAATGTGCAGAGCCGTTTCGTCGTGTGCTTAGCAGAATCTGCAGATTGTTGTTAAGCTGAGACCTAATTTTGTCATGTGTTTAAATTACAGTGTGCAGTGAGGGCCCTAGTCATGATGCATATATTGTTGTTACTCAATAGTAATTAGTCTATCGGAGTATTGATTCGTAGTAGTCCATTATTAGGGCTTTTGAATGTACTAATCCTGGCATATTCTGCCAGTGATTCACTATTTCTCGTTTGGTTATTATTTTGAGATATCCCAGTTTTAGGCAACGAGGCACACCACAGAAGGATGACCGTAACATATGGAGCAGTTTTTGCCGTTAACTTTCTCTCCCTCGTTTCACATCAATATTTTTATTTCTCTGAAGTATCAATCTATCAAATCCCACATGAATATTGTGATATTTCTATACATATATTATTAACATCACTCAATTCATCATCTCAATAATCAAATATCAAATAACGGAACGAGAATAAATAAAGCGGAGTAAAAAAGTCCACATAATATGTACAATATCAATAATGTCAGAAATCCTTGTGAATCGAGCGGTCGGGCTTTTTAATTACGCCGTGTCAACACACCGCGCTCCGGCTACATGAATTATTCAACGATTGCCCACAGACTCGGGTTTTTTCGTCCCCGGTTCTTCGCTGCGACTTTTTGCCCTGTTTGTACTCGTTATGTGGAAGGTGGTATTAAGTGGATGAAGTATGATTGAGTGTAATTTAAAAGCAACGACGAAATTGACAATGTTTCAATATCAGAATTGTACGCATTTAAGTCTCTTAAGAGATAGTATGGGTTGTTTGAGATAGGTCAATGGTATGGTTATGATATGGTTTATGAAAGTGGCTAAAACCATGATGCGAAGACGACTGCGTGTCCTCAAAGTGGTCAAGATGCCAAACTCGACCAGAGGTAGCGACAGGCCACTTGCTGGAACAATATTAAGAAGCAGATGGACCAGCACAATCTTACTATACAGACAACCTCGAACAGAGTTCTCTGGAGCAGATGTACACGGAGACCTAAGATGAACGGGGATGATCCAACCCAACAAGAGAGTAAATCCATGATATTCATGTATGTAGAAATGAAAGAGAAAAATATATTACGCTGACTACAAATAAATGGGACAAGGAAGAAGCAGATGATGATGACAATGGAATGGTGCATCAGCGGGCACCAGTGGAGGATGATAAGATGAGCATGAGGTCAGGCCAGTTAGCACATCGTGACTAATCCACCAGGAATTTATCATGATAGTTACCAGGGGGAATCGCGTGGAGATCAACCCGACATGGTACATTGCTAGCAATAAAATCATCAGTCCACATTACTAACAATCTTCTTTCTCCCCTGTAGGCGATGATTACCGTTTACCAATCGGTATACCGTCATCTTGATTGTCATTTCAAGTACTAGCACTAGTAGGCTCTGGTATTTGGCTGGAGAGGGAGAGAAACACGAGAGGTGAAAGCGAGTGTTAACGTTCATCAGGGTGTCTTCAACCTACACC